TCTACCTTTCCAATTTGGTATAATTCATTTTGATATTTCCAAAATATTAATTGCTTCGTTGTGATCTCACACCATGTGAGTGTGTGGTTGTTTTTTGTCGGTTCTTGTACCATACCAATGGTACGAATTTTGATTTTTCGACTTTGAGTGGTCGAATGTAAGACGAGTGATTGTCGTTGATTACGGTGATGCGTGTGCATCAATAAAAGTTATGAAATTTTTTGGGAGAGAAAAAAAATGCCTTTCATTCATCTAGCTTCGAACTTAATTTCTCTTCAAAATGGTCAAACTCTAAGTGCTTGCCCGCCATCGGAATTCATTTGTATTCGGTTTGGAAATCGCGTGTTTACAATCTTAAACTCTTTACTATATTTTGTTCGCTGTATTAGCAATAATTGCACTCATTAAACGCTATAAATGATCGAATCCAACAATAAATAAATCACGCAACAACAACAACAATAAAAAAACGAATAATAATCTCGCTCACGAGATGGAATAACATGATCGTGTCTTAATAAATGAGATTGTTTGTGGATGTTGTTTTTTGTCGTACAGCCACTTGTCAGTGCTTTTTCTCTTCCATTCTCAGATCTAAATTGGTTTTTATCGGATGCGAAAAATTAAATCATTCACCAATTGAATCGAAATACACTTCTTGAATTTATTACCGGCATGAAAATAAAAAAGAATAGCACACAGAAACCACAGTGCGCTCAAATTGGATTTTTTTCGTCCGTTTTTTCCCTTTTCAACATTTTTCAAGTTTTTGATTTCATTTTTTTTTTTAAATTCAAAGCCAAATTTTTCCACGCTTTTTAATTGACGCAAATTGAATTGCGACCGATATCGAGGAATGTTTTGATGTTGTTACTCAATTATGTAATGATTAATTACAATTTCGTTTGAGACAACGATCTATTAATTAAAAAGGCTGTATATGTGAGTGTATTTTTGGTTTTCATGATAGAAATTTTCTGTTAGAAAATATACTGTTCACATTGAATGCGAATTATTTGAGATAGAGAGAGCGAGAGAGAGAGAGAGAGAACGTGCTCTTGCCAAGTAAGCCCACCAAAGATGTTGCATATAACGATGAGAAAGAGTTGTGGTTTGTGATTGCCAAGTTCATAAAATAAACTCCAATAAAATAAAATCGCTGTAAAATTGTTTGGCATTTGCCTATATGATGATGATGCGATTGTGTTGCGTCCACTCGGCCACTCATTCATGTTAGATGGAGAAAGAGAGTTAAAGAAATCGGAATCAGCGATATCAAGTCAATTCGATGGAAATGCCGCTGAATTGAGCATTTCCATCGTCGTCCAAAGAGCCGAAGTGATCAATAGAACGACAGTGGCACATTAATCGCATCGCCAAAATAGCAGCAACAAAACTAGCGGATGTAACAACAAAACGACCAAACAACCAACAATGCTTATGCTTCACATAAATATTCGAGAAGTTAGCTTCTTTCGTTCATTCTTCAAGGACAAAAATCCAACACACACACACCGGTCATGATGTGTACTTTTTGGTCTTCAAGAATTACATTTGTGTTCCATTGTAAATTCCAGATGAATGTGAAAAATGAATGCGATTCGATGAGCAAAACAACTCGGCACTCGACTGTTTGAGCACGGTAGAAATGCGATCGATGCACATTCAAAAAATGAAAAGCACCCGATGAATTTCAAATGAAACACCATTCAATTGATGGAGAGAATAGTTTCAACTCATTTGTGATGTGTTTGTTTTTATTTTGTGTGTGTGTGTTATTTGCACCGTCGGTAATTGTATTAAAAGAAGCATATCAAACAAAAATTGCTAGTCCAATGGACTAGTAGAAAAGAGAGAAAAGAGATAGGGAGAGAGAAAAAAAGAACCAACAACCAAGAGGAACATCACTCTTTGGCGACAAACACAAAGCGAACAAATAAATAACAAATAATTCGTATTTGCACGGTTTGTTGTTCGTGGCCAAACTCCAAAGTGGCGAATGAGAACAACATCTAAAGAAGGAAGGAGAGCGCCCAATCGCGACAATTCTATATGATATGTATATATTAGCTATCGAGAATAATATTGAATAGGAAAATTATTTACATTATTCATTTGGATTTTCTTCTGTTTGGTTCATTTCTCGGTGAGTGAATAAGTGGTCGATATCGAGTGAGTGAATGGCAACGGCGACGGGGTCGAAAGTGCGGAATGAGTAAAATACATACAAAACCACCGAAAGCAAAATCATTCGGCCATAAAATTGCATTTTGGATAAATTGACGACATTTTTTGCCGCATATTCAACATATTTATACAGCAAAAAAAATGTATTTATATAGCTGTTGCGAAGCTCTTAAACGTGCGCTCACGCTTTCGATTCTCAAATATCGAGATGAACTGTGGGTGCGCGCGCGAACAATTTTATGCATGCACCTAGCGCAAAAAAATAAAAAATCCCGAAGTCACAGGTATATTGCCTTATTTTATTTGACTATTTGCGAAACAGAGCAAAGAGAGCGACCGAAAATGAAAGAGAAAGAGAGTCACATTTCCATTGAATGGCAATGCAGTCAGTTTGCAAACTCGGCTGAATTTAGCGTAAATCTTTCACCGAAATGCAATCCTTCAAAATCGATTTGAATGCATACATTTTTTTTGTGTTTGTTCGTTTCTCAAAACAAGAGAATAGCGAATGCAAATTTGTCTAGAAGTTAAAACGCGAATAAAATATATATACATCAGTGAGAAAAAGAGTGAGAGAGGGAGAAAGAGAGGGAGAAAGAGAGAGAGAGAGAAACGCAATGCGTATTCGATTGCACTGGCCGGGATCAACAAGTTCACATGAGAAAGCTCAGGTAATCTTGCGTTTTTTTTCTCTCTGTATCTTCTTCTTTATGCTGTAATCGATTGTGTATGTTTTACAACGGGAACGAAGTAGCATATCGAACAAATATGCGCGCACAACTTTTGACCACAACGTTGTTGTCGCATTTTCTGTATCTTTTCGTGTACTTGAATCGTTTTATTTCTCTGTGTGTGTCTCTTTCTCTCTTTTATTCAATCCCATTGACAGCCTCAACCAATAAACTTGCTAATACATTTATTGCGATTGTCAATTTAGAAGGCAAAACAACGAGCAAATAGTGGAACCAACAATCGAATAATAAATGCAACAAATGTTTTATTTAAAATTGTGCGATCCGATTTTTACGATCATCTCATCTCCATCGTTGCCGTCATCGTAATCGTTGTCAACGAAATGCGTAAACACGATGAAATCCGAGGGAATGCCGATGGCTTGTATTGTTGCCCATTTTGTCCACATTCAATCGAATAAATAGTTGAGGTCGTCGTTTTTTCTTTTATTTTATAGATGCTGTTGATTTCTTTCTATATTTTTTTTCGTCAGCGCTTTTTTTCTGCTTGCGATTTGTTTGGCATTTATCTGTGCGCGCTTCTCTTCTACTCTTTTTTTGTTGCTTTTACTGTGTTCTATTTATTTTGTGACAATTGGTCTCTGTGTATATATAGTCATTCGATGGCACACAGAATATTCTCTCTGTCCATTTTGTTCGGTTTGGTTTTATATTCGATTGTAATGCAACAGGCAACAGGAGCAGTTTTTAACTTGCAAAATGGTTTGTTGTCACTTGAAGTCGTCGATCAATGTGAAAATGGGGCTTTTTGCACACAATATTTAACCATCAGTCACATCAAAGAGTCCACACATATAACACAAAATAACGCAAATCCATGATATAAAGAGCGCATACAATTGTAAAAGGCAGTCTGTGAAAATAAAATTTATGGCGATTTAAATGAAATTTGAATTTTTGCCGATTGCATCAATGCAATCGCATTAGCACACACAACGCTAGGAGATTGTGCATTCGATTTGTCGTGCTGCGCTTCAATTTGTTTGTGTTTTTTTTATTATTTTTTTTTTTTTTCGTTTCACTTGATGGTCGGTGCATCGGTTGTTCAATCGTATTGCAATGTATGCGATGAAAAAGTCGCGCGCACGCACATGGTCACTTCAATGGAAACGCATCCCATCGATGAAATAATCATTTAGGCCATTGAATTTGAATGAAATTAGACATAAATGAAATCAACTTGCTAATTGTATTAATTTGAATGGATTGCTCTATTCACATTCCACACGTTCATCCAATAAAATCAAATCTTCCGACCGATTCCATTGAATCACTGAATCGACCAATGTCAATTCACAATAAATATTCCATTTTAGCTGCGCACCCGCGCGCGCTCGCAACTCAAATATTTCACACAAACATTAAAATCACCACAGAAAATGGCACTCTCTTTGAGAGAACGAGTGAGAGAGAGAGAGAGAGAGAAAGAGAGAGAGAGAGAGAGAGAGAGAGAGAGAGAGGAAAAGAGACTCTCTCACACTGTTTGATTTGTTTGTTTACATCGGGCGGTGTTTTGCACAGCCCATTCGAACAAAGATTTTAATAACGACGAAGACGACGGCGATGATGTGCGAAAAGTGAGAGAATGGAAGCACCGCATAGCATATTGAAGCAGAGATTGATTGATACTTTTATTTGGTATTTATTGAGAATGCTGTGATGGGCACATCAAGTCTCTTTGGGCTTGTATGTGCATGTGAATTGAGCTCGACATTCAATACAATATAGCACATTGATGTATTTGAACAGGCGAACCACTAAACGAAGCAAATATCATTGTGAAAATAAAGCAAATAGAGAAAGAGAAATAAAAGTTTTGAGAATAAATTCACAGGCAAACACTGTGTAGTATAATTATTTGACGGCTTAAGTGTAACGTCGTATTTATCACAGCCGACGGCTGTGTGGCAGTTCAATCGGTTTCCTTTTCCGTTGAAACATTCATCGACGGAGATCGATGTGAATTTGAAGCGGATAAAAGCAAACAAACGCAAAAAAAAAGAATGAATATTGCAGTTCCTGCAAATCACAAAAGATAAACTAAACGGTATTGATATTTACCTTGCATCCTTCGCATGTGAATGCACCGAAATGGAAGCCTGCCGCCGGTTCGCCGCAAACCTTACACTGCTGATTCATCTGCAATTCAAAAAAAAGAAAACGAAAAAAAAAACGATGTTCAATAAGAGCGAAAAAATTGGATTCATTAATTAAATCAAAATGGTAAGACGCGACAAGATTCAACTTAATGCATGACAGAGCAAAAAAAACTGCGAACGCGAGCGGAAGATCGTGGCTGAAAAAAACAAGCGATCGAATATTAATTAGTTAACACGTTGTTTGGTGCAGATTAAAACATGCGGTTCTACAAAACGCCCGTTTAATTCTTGATATATGTTAATTTCTTCACCATATTGATTACGTCTCAAGCGTTTTCATATCGATTTTCTGGTGCATTGCGTTCATGTGAGTAACTCGCTTCGTTTTTGTTTCGGCCGTTGATGTTTGTGTGTGTGTGTGTGTTGCTAGCTGTTTTTCCTTTTTAATTAAGTAACACGACCCGATGAATAATTATTTATCTCACCTTCGTTACAAGCAACACAACTGAACAGCGCCTTCACTACTCACCATTATTGGTGTGGCGCAAAACAATATACACACATTGCAATCTTTTTCTCTGTGCTCGCGCAGCGCAATGAAACTCGAATGAAATATGACCATATGCGAATGGTTTTCACAAGAAAACAAAACGAAAAAACAAACAAACATTGTGCGGCGTTCATTGTGCCAAACAATGACAACAAAGAGCCAAGACTAATATTTGCGGCAAACCAATGATGATAAAACAAGAGCATAACAATATATGTATATATACTAAAGACACACATCGAGAAATACGATGGAATTGGTGACAGAGTGTGTTCGAGTGAAAGAAATCACAAATTAAGTGCATATGCATTAGATATGCGGACAGCAAAAAAAAAATGCCCGAGACAGTTTAACTGTCGTCACAGAATGAGAGGAAGAGATCTCCTATATTCATTGCAATCCTAATTGCACTTGTATTACATATTTATTGCGAATGAAAAAAAGACGGAATCTCTCTCGCACACACACATACGCTTATCTCACATTCTTCTTCGGTTTTTGATGTGGCGTTTCGATATAGATTCCATGATTGCCATTTTTTTTTGTTCAATTGTACGTTTGTGAATTGTTGACAATATGAATTTAATCGATCAAAGTGATTATTTACTGTAATCGGTTCTGTGTCTGGGCCGCCGAACATTGGATGCAACGAAATATACAGAGTGGAAACCAAAGAGAGAAAGAGATAGAGGGAAGAACAACCGTCTAGGGGTAGACTCCGTAGAATTTATGCACGAAGATGTTTGGTTTTATACAAAGCTTTAAAAGACTTTCAAAGATTCAAATTAAATGGTTTTCCACCCATATTGATTTGATGTAATTTGAATAATTTTTTTTCGTAGCTAAAACACGATTTGATTTACTGAGATAAATCAATAATAGTTTGAGTTCCAAGCATTGTGAATCCATCGCAGAAAAAACAGAGAACTTTAAGCGGTGTGTATGCCAACTCCTAGACAACAATTGAATCATATTTACGGCGACAAATAAAACACGCGCCATCACTGTACAATATCGAACACAACTACCGAATGATTGCCACATTTTCAGTTTGTTATTTAAAAAAATGTGCTGTTGTATTCTTCTTCGTTGGTATTTTGCTTGGGTTGCACCGGATTGATTGTGAATATTTCATTTCTCTCTTTTATCACATCTGTATATTTGTTCGATTTTCTCTCTGGCATTGTATGCCGCATCAATGTGGTTTTCTTTCGTTTAATTCTAGCGACATTCGTAAACGGGAGTGGAAAACGCGTTTCAATGGACACAACCGACCGACGGTACAAAAAAAAATATATATATATGAAAAGATTGCAACGTCAAACTGAATTGGTCGATTTTTTTTACTTCGTTCGCGATGTTGCAGCGCATGCAAGGTAACAAATAGGCGCATCATCATTTTAAATTATAATGAATTGAACATTGTTAGCGTTTTATATCGCAAAACGTTTTTGTCTTTTGACCCTTTTTTGTTTTGTGACTGACAGAAGTGCTGTTGCTGTTGCTGCATTTTCAAAGCTTTTTCAATGAAGCGTTTATGATTTAGTTTTCCAGTTGCGCTCGAAATCGATTGAATCGAATAAAACAACAACAACAAAAAATTGGTTCGCGCACGACACATTGATTTGGCTCAACAACTGAAGAATGTACAATTGTGCAAGCGCATTCACACACAACAATTCTGGTGAAATGCACACACACACACACAGTCATACATACTGTCGATTCTCGATTTATTAATTTATTTTCAGAGCAATTTATAAAATTGATATCAACTGTCATTTGTGCATTGAATTATGGATGAACGCGATTAATTTGTCGGTGTACATCTCGGTTATGCATTCGAATCAACATCGATCGATCTTATATTTTATATATAAATGTATATTTAGATCATTTGTCAGACGCGATCGGAGGGAACACATCATGAAGTTGATTAAATGTATCGCGCACAACAGCTAAAAAAACGAAAACTTTAATACTCGCTGTGAGATACAAGATTCAATTAACCGATTGGACTGAAATTGTTTTTTTTTTGTTTGAAGCATATTATCTTGTCACACTAATTATCTTTTGCATAAAAAACCATATTTTCGATTTGAAGAGTGATTTATTTGCAGGGAAATAATTTTTTTGTGAAGAATTCTTTTTTATTTTGAAATTACGTTCAATTGAGTTTTTAAAAAGATACCGGTGAATTGGAAACTATTTTGGGTAATTCTACATCGATTTCAACACGATATGGAATCGGTTTAATTGATTTCGATTTGTTTCAAATTCAAATGAAGTTATCAATGTTTGCACCATCATCATGAGAAATGCTGCTGCATTTTGTATGTATGTGTGTGTGTGCGCAACAATAATAATCGAAGCTTGGGCTGCTCAATGTCAACTGACATTTGTGTGATCGTAAAATCGTGCAAACAACAGCTGCCGTGATCGTTGCCATCCAATTCCTTGTAGCATGTGCATATCGAACCGGGGAAAAAAATAAGATCTCTCTCTTTCTCGAACACATGCTGCTTTTCGTGCTGACGATTTGCGCAATAAAGCTCAATGAGTCCAGATTTTACAAACGCGATAAACACGATCTCTCATCATTGGCAAATATTTAGAACGAACAAGACAAGGCATACAATGTATTCTCTATAACAAAAACATATATATATGCACCGCACCGTAGATTCAACATCAAATTCATGTCAAATAAAATTTATCATGATCGCATATTTATGGTTGTCACGGCGGTCATTCGAATAAAACCGTGTATAATTGAAATATTAATTTTGAATCGTTTCTGTGTGTTTTTTTTGTTGATATTCTCACTTTTATTATGTGTTTTCACCTTCTGTGTATCTTTTGTGTATGTGCATCGATGAATTATTATTTTATTTCCGCCTACGATAGAAAACTATTGCCATTCAAAGTGCAACAAGAAATTTTTTTTTTTAGACAATGTAGATTCTTTAAATGATGAAAATGGAGCTAAAAACATTCATTTTTAATGTATTATTTATATATAAGGCGTAATCCGTGAAAGACCAATGATGGTACTTATTAGATTTTAAGTATCGACAAAATTCAAACTAATTGGCAATCGGCTGGGGCCTTTATGTTAAGAGTCGCGCAAAACCACTTGAGAATCAATTGTGTGGACAATTGATGGCATGCACAATTGTCGAGTAGGCATTGTGCCTCGCCAATTCGTATTGATCGTGTCTGTTTCATTCGTTGTATCGAACGCTCTCATTCATGTCGGTTTGCTTTCCTATTCCTTGTCACATCGATAGTCATACATATAATTCATTTTGCACAGAAGAGAGACTTAGCGTTATTTTCGCTTGGCTTTTGTTTTCAATACATTTTGTTATCAGACGAACGCTTTGAATAAGATCGATCATTTTGAGTGAGCGTGTGCGTATTTGTTCGCTCGTGTATCGACCATATACAATGCAATAACATCGTGAATTGACATATTTTATTTATACATTAAAAATATTTGGAATAATTTACGCGTTCGGAAAGCACAATTCACCCATTCGACGATAAGACCAGAGGAAAAATAGATAAAAGAAGAGAGATGCAATTGAACATGTATTGAAAATTCAAACGATCGCCTGGCCGATTATTTATTCGTTTTCTCACCCAACACACATGTATGCATGTTGGGTGCATGGTGGAAAATCTATCGATTGTAACGAAAAAATAAAAATAAAAACGCCGCACATAGTTAATTCGTTCTCATTTTCGACTGTTGGATTGAAAAAGCAAAATGAGTAAGTGCACGAGAAAGAGCATAATCAGCTAACAGCTCATCGCATTGGGATTGCATACAAATTACAAATGCGCTTGTCTATGTGCTATTATTAAAATATTCGCGTTCATCTCGCATACATATAGATATATATATCGTTTGCAAATGATATGCGTGTGCCTGAGTCTCGTGTTAAGTCGTTAGCAAGCAAAATAAAGGCAAACCCAATGGAAATTGCAGTATGCGAGAGCGAAAAAAGCGCGCGCATTTCGTTTGAAATGGCCGACACACACACATATATGAGTTGAAGAAAACAAAAGCAAAGTCATTCGTTATTGTTGTTGATTTTGTTTTTGTTTTTTTTTTCACTCTGTTGTTTTGTTTGAGCGCTAAACGCTGAACTTTTGCCGAGCATTGTGTTGCTTGGAGTGCGCAAGCAAAAGAGCTACCATTCGACCGCTTTCTTTTGTCCAATATTGCTTGTTCAGTGAAGATGATATGCGGGGAAGCAATTGCACAGATTCAACAAGTACACCGCCATGGTCAGAAAGAACAATGCATCCGATTCGAATCGAAACAACGATGTCACGTAAATTTTGCGCGAATAGATCATGTGTGCGCTGACTCTTTTTTTTTTTTGGTAAATAAGTGCGAGAGAGAAGAAGAGTGCGTTTGTGCAACAAATTTAGATCTCTACTAATCTATTATGTTTGATGATGCTTTAATCTATTCAATC